GGTGTGGCTTATTTTGTGGGCGTGGCTTGATGGTCATGTGACAATTCTTTAGGATTTAGCAGAGGTACTGGTCTTCCAGGCTTTTAACTGCTTGCAGAGCTGTACTGGTCTACCCATTTATTTTTTGCAGGCACTGATCTACTCATGTATTTTTGCAGGCACTGGTCTACTCATTTGTTTTCTTTTAACACTGATCAGCTGTAGGGCGGCCCTTTGAAGCCCCGCGGCAAGAGTTTAAACAGTTTTTTTCCCTCTAGCCATCAGCTGGGACTCAGGAGGCAGCAATAGATTGGGGGTGGGACCAAATAAAAGATAAGAATAATGCGGGGGGGTGGGGTGGGGGCGGGGGGGCAGAACATCATATCTGTTGTGGCTCCGTCCTCCGAGCCTATCTTATCGGAGGAAGAAGGCTTTCGAACATGAAGGAGAGGAGACGGCCAGGCCTCCCTCTCCAGGACCCTCCTCTCTGGCAATGCCTCAGGTGTCTCTCGAAGGAGAAGAGATTGGCCAGGAGCCAGGTATTTCCGAGCCGTCGGATAGTGACGAAGAAAACATTGTGGTTGGACCCACGCCAGCGTCGGAGAGACAAGCAGGCGCAGCAGAAAAGGAGGCATGCCAGAGATTAAGCTGAGTCACTGGACCACACCCCACAGGCTATAAAAGGGAGTGTGGTGGCCATTCGGACTCTGTGATGGACAAAGCTAATCTCTGGCGAGGCACTTTGCACCTTCGGACACAACACCTATTTTGCTGTGGATTTAATTACAAACTGGACTATTCAAACTGTGTGTATTTTTGTCTGTGTTATCGGAGTAAAAGTTCTTGGCAGGCAGCCACGGAGTTGCTACCAAGTTCCTTATCACTGACGTTGAGTGTTTGAAGAGTTTATTTAATCCTCGGCTGGCTGGTTGGGTGTGTGCGTGGTACGGGGACAGAACAATATCGTCACCGCTACCGGCTCGGGAGAACTGGGCCAAACCGGGAGGAACCCACCACTGGACCAATTGCAGTCGTAAGTCAAGGACTACTTGTGTTCTGTGGCCATCCTCCTGAGTCCCCCAACTGGCCAGGCACACTTTTTGAGGGACCCCCTCCCCTTTGCTACCAAGTTCTCACCCCGTAGCGCTGGGTGTAAGAAAAGACTCCCGCAGAAAACCACCTGTTGCTCCTTTCCCCCCTCCTCCCTCCGTGGTTAATTACTCCTGGCACGGATCTGATAATTGCTATTATTAATTATATTAATGAGCCACTGCTCAGAGCCCCCCAAGGGATGGTGCGACAAAGATAGCACGTTCTAATCTTCGGAGAGAGGAAAAAGCTTTCCTTCTTTCAAAAAAAAAAAAAAAAAAAGAGGGATAAGGGAGATTTAGGTGAAATGAAAAAGGGGGATTATTACATACTTAGGGCGTTAGGCGTTTTGGTTAATTTTTACTGGACCTTTTTGCCGATTAAGTAAGGAGAGCGGAAGATTCGGAGAAAACCAGGGTGAGGCCTCAAACGAAGATTTATTGGATTTTATTTTAAGAGTGAGAAATTGTTCCTGGTGAATCTACATGGCTGGGGATGAAGTTGTGTTTTGCTTCCTCCTCAAAAAAACATCCTTTTTTCCTCTTTTTTGGGGGGGGGGGGCAAGGTAGGTTTTCTTTTCTGAACTTTTTAAGATTTTTAATGTCTTTCTGTATTTCATTTTGCATTTCTGGTCCTCGACGTACGACCACAACTGAGCCACAAATTTCCACTGCTAAGCATGAGGAGTTGTTAAGTGAGTTTTGGTCCCATTTTAAGACGTTTTCCTGTTGTTAGGCGAATCGCTACCGTTGTTATGTTAGTGACGCGGTTGCTAAGTGAATCTCAGCTCACAGCCGTTTGTTTAGGGACTGTTCAAAGTTACAACGTCACTGAAAAAAAGGGGACTTATGACCATTTTTCACACTTATGACTGTTGCAGCGTCCCAACAGTCACGTGATCAAAATTCAAAAGCTTGACAACTGACTCATACTTATGACCCTTTCAATGTCCCGGGGGGTCACATGATCCCCTTCTGAGATCTTCTGACAAGCGAAGTCCATGAGGAAGCTGGATTCACTTAACAACCGTGTGACTAATTTAACAACTGCAGTGATTCACTTAACAAAGTGGCAGGAAAGGTCGTAGAATGGGGCAAAACTCGCTTAACAAGTGTCTCCCTTAAATGTCTCCCTGCCTATAAAAGAACTTAATGCAAAAAAGGACATTAAAATATTTAAAACTGTAGGAAAAAAATCCAAAATTGGGGGGGGGGGGGGGAGAAACAGGAAGGAGAAGAAATTTCATCCTCAGCAACTGCTGCATCACTTGACAACAGAAATATTGGGCTCAATTGTGGTCATAAGCCGAGGACTACTTGTACTGTTTTTATATTTTAACATTTGATTGCACCACTGCAGAAAGTCCCTCTGTGACGGAGAATTCGTGGCAACTGGACCAAAGTTTATTCAAACCAGGAGTGGGTTCTATTTTTTTTTACTACTGGTTCTGTGGGCGTGGCTTATTTTGTGGGTGTGGCTTGGAGGTCATGTGACTAGCGTGGTAGGGTCATTTCTGGAAGGTCCTCGCACTTACGACCAAGTCCTCGCACTTACGACCCGACTCATTTGTTTGCTTTTAACACTGATCAGCTGTAGGGCGGCCCTTTGAAGCCCCCGGCAAGAGTTTTAAACAGGTTTTTTCCCCTCTAGTCATCAGCTGGGAGTCAGGAGGCAGCAATAGATTGGGGGTGGGACCAAATAAAAGATAAGAATAACGTGGGGGGCAGGGGGGGGGGGGGGAAAACCGGTTCGGTGACATCATATCGTCACCGCTACTGGCTCGGCCGAACCGGACCGAACCGGGAGGAACCCACCTGATTCAAACTGAGATGTTTCGTTACTTATCCAAATAACTTCTTCAGTCAAAATGAAAATTTTTGAACAGTCATAGAACAAGGGGGGGTCAAATTCGTGGCCTGCAGGCCGGAAGCGTCATGCAATGGCCATGCCAGCCCCTGGTTTAGCGTAGGGGGGGTGAAAGTCATGACACGTCATGTTTGACACCCCTGGCACAGAGCAATCGTTTCCCAACCCTTCTAGTATGGTGGTCCAGCCCAGTGTGCGTATAAATGAGTGGCAGTACGTGCATACACACCTCCATTTGTCTAATAAATGGAGGATGCCTGCGGTCGTGTGCGAAGTTCCACTCGTGCACATGCACTCCCGCGCGAAGCTCCAATCGTGCAAATGGGAGTTTCGCACACGACTTCAAGAGCCCTCCGTCCGCACAAGGAGAGCTTCGCGTGCAAGCGCCCTTGGCTCACACGAGCGGAGCGTCACACGCGCACCCTGCCCATTTCTCCCACGGCCCGGTTTCAAACCGTCTGTGGCCCGTTGGTGGGTCGGGGTCTGTGGGTCGGGGACCCCTGGCACAGATAGAGTCAGAGAGTCATTGCAAGGCGCTAATTCTTCCATAGCAATAGCAATAACACTTAAGACTTATATACTGCTTTCCACTGCTTTCCAGCCCTCTCTAAGCGGTTTACAGAGTCAGCCTCTTGCCCCCAACAATCTGGTCCTCATTTTACCCACCTCGGAAGGACGGAAGGCTGAGTCAACCTTGAGCCATCAGGATCAAATTCCTAGCAGTGGGCAGAGCTAGCTTGCAATGCTGCATTCTAACCACTGCACCACCACCTACCTTCCTTCCTTCCTTCCTTCCTTCCTTCCTTCCTTCCTTCCTTCTTTCCCTTTCTCTCTTCCCATCCCTCCCTCCCTTGAATTCCATCCATCTTCCTTCTTCCCTCCCTCCTTCCCTCCCACTTAGCAATAGCTCTTAGAATAGATACCGCTTCACCAGTGCTTTTCAGTCCTCTCTAAGCGGTTTATAAGAGCCGAGGTGGTTAGAGTGCAGCACTGCAAGCTACTTCAGCTGAATGCTAGCTGCAGTTCAGCAGTTCAAATGTCACCAGCTCGAGGTTGATTCAGCCTTCCATCCTTTCTAAGGTGGGTAAAATGAGGACCCAGCCTTTTGAGGGCAAGTTGCTGACTCTGTAAAACCGCTTATAGAGGGCTGTAAAAGCACTGTGAAGCGGTATATAAGTCTAAGTGCTATTGCTATTACAAAGTCATCCTATTGCCCCCAACAATCTGGGTCCTCATTTTACCGACCTCGGAAGGACGGAAGGCTGAGTCAACCTTGAGCTGGTCAGGATCGAACTCCTGGCAGTGAGTTAGCCTGTAATACCGCATTGTAACCACTGCACCACCATGGCTCTTCCTTCCTTCCTTCCTTCCTTCCTTCCTTCCTTCCTTCCTTCCCTCCTTCCTTCCTTAAATTCCTTTCCTTGCTTTTCATCCTCTCTAATTTCTAAGAGCCTTCTTGGTAGGCGCAGTATTGCAGGTACTCTGTGCTAGCTGCAGTTCAGAGTTTGATCTTACCGGATCAAGGTTGACTCAGCCTTCCATCCTTCCGAGGTGGGTAAAATGAGGACCCAGATTTTTGAGGGCAAGACTGACTGTAAACCGCTTAGAGAGGGCTGTAAAAGCAGTGAAGTGGTATATAAGTCTAATTGCTATTGCTATTATAGAATCAGCTATTGCCCCTAACAATCTGGGTCCTCATTTTACCCACCTCGAAGGACGGAAGGACGAGTCAACCTTGAGCCTGGTGAGATTCGAACTGCCAAATTGCAGGCAGCCGGCAGTCAGCAGAAGTTGCCTGCAGTACTGCACTCTAACCACTGCGCCACCGCGGCTCTGCGCCACCATACTGACTTTGCAGGGGTTTCACACCAAAATATAAGATTCTCTGACTCTGCCTAACCCAACATTTTCATCTTGATGGAAGAAATTACTTGGGTGAGTAACGAAACGTCTCCATTTAATAAACTTTGCCACGGTTTAACCTTTTTTGAGATCCTTTTGGCCTGGATGATCTAGACTTCATTTACATAGCGAAATACAAACAGAAGGATAAATTGCCTGGTTACCTTTCTGCTTCTTCCTTAACGATGGCGAACTGAGTCGGCTGCCGGCTGGGCCGGTTCTGCTCCGGGACTTTCTCTCCGCCTTCCAGCTCCTGCTCCAGAGAGGAGCTGGTGCTGCCTTCTCGGCTGACATTGGTGCTGCGCCCGGGGCTGTTCTCGGTGGAGGCCCGAGGCGACTCGGTGTTCTGCTTCAACGTCTGGAGCTTGGCCAGAGGGATGATGTCGCAGTTCTGCGGCCGGTGCCACACCGTCCGTTGGGTGGTGGCATTGTAGTAGTAGAAACGGGAGGTGTTGGGGTCGAAGAGCTCCCACCACTGGTTCTCGTTGGTGCGCTTGATGCGGACGCCGGCGGGGGAGGGTCCCACACGCACTCGCCCGTGATCAGGTTGGCGTACATGCGCTCCCGCGTGCGAGGTTCAATGATTTCCACCCATTCCAACCTGCGAGGGGAAGAGAGAGAGAGAGAGAGGGAGGGGGCTCTTAGAAACTGGCATGTATAGAAGCGCTTTCTTTTTCTTTGTTTATTTTGTTCTTTTACTTCCTTTTAGTTTCTTCGCTCTGTACGGTTGGAAGTCACCTAGACTAGAGGAGCCCCATGGCAAGACAGGAGACATATAGTAGTAGAAAGAAGATATAGGAGGGAGGGAGGGAGGGAGGGAGGGAGGGCAGAAAGAAAATAGGAAGAAGAGGAGGGAGGGAGGGAGGGAGGAGAGTTGGAGGGGGTGGAAGGAGGGAGGGAGGAAGGGAGGTGGGCAGAAAGAAAATAGAAAAGAGAATGGAGGGAAGGAGGAGAGGGACGGAGGAGAGTTGGTGGGTGTGGGGAGGAGAGATGGAGGAAGGGGGGGAGGAGGAAGAAAGGAAGGAAGGAAGGAAGGAAGGAAGGAAGGAAGGAAGGAAGGAGGAAGGAAGGAAGGAAGGGGACAGAAAGAAAATAGGAAAGAAGAATGGAGGGAGGGAGGAGGAGAGTGGAAGGGGTGGGAAGGAGGATGGAGGGAGGAGAGTGGAAGAGGTGGAAGGATGGAGGGAGGAGAGTTGGAGGGGGTGGGAAGGGAGATGGAGGGGGTGGGAAGGAGAGATGGAGGGAGGGAGGAAGGTGGGCAGAAAGAAAATAGAAAAGAAGAATGGAGGGAGGGGAGAGGGAGGGAGGAGAGTTGGAGGGTGTGGGAGGAGAGATCGAGGGAGGGAGGAGGAGGAAGAAGGGAGGAAGAGGGCAGAAAGAAAATAGGAGAAGAATGGAGGGAAGGAGGAGATGGAGGGGTGGGAAGGAGAGATGGAGGGAGGGAGGAGGGAGGAAGGAAGGAGGGCCGAAAATAGAAAAGAAGAATGGAGGGGGAGGGAGGGAGGGAGGAGAGTTGGAGGGGTGGGGAAGGAGGGAGGGAGGAGGGAAGGGAGGAGGGAGAAATAGAAAGAAGAATGGAGGGAGGGAGAGAGGGAGGAGAGTTGGAGGGTGTGGGAAGGAGAGATGGAGGGGAGAGGGAAGGGAGGAAAGAAGGGAGGAAGGCGGGAAGAAAATAGGAAAGAAGAATGGAGGGAGGGAGGAGAGTTGAGGGGGTGGGAAGGGAGGAGGGAGGGAGGGAGGGAAGGAAGGAAGGAAGGAAGGAAGGAAGGAAGGAGAGACAGAGGGGAAAGGAGGGAAGAAGGAGGGAAGGATTTATTTAGCTCATCGTTTTATGAATAGGAATCTTCTCAGGTGCTGGTTAGCCCTGTTAGTAGTTCAATAAGGATCAACAGAATTCAGCGGAGCTTGGATTTAGTTTGCTTGTGACCACATAAGGATCCTAGGCTAATTCCTCTTTTGACTCCACCCCCAGTCTCTGCCACCCTTCTCCTACATCACCTCCCTCATGTGATATTTTGTATGGTACCCCCGTCTTTTCCACCACCCCCCAAACAGTGAGATCCACAGTGTGTGTGTATGTGTGTGTCACTGCCAAGATTGTTGCCTCGACAAAAGCAGGCAAGGATCTACTCTTTTGATTTGCACTTTGTCCTTTTTTTGCCACGCATACCAATTCTACGACAGACGCCCCTAGTTAATTCCACAACTTTTGTTGTCTCCTCCCTGGGCAGGAGACAAACTGGCAAAGGCAACGAACACCGGTCTGAACCTCAAACATCAGCAAACAACCTAAGAAAGTTTACAACGGGTTCCAACTGAATCCTTTTGCTCGGAAATTCTGGATCTCTGTTTTGGATTCCAATAGCAGATGTTTCAAACTATGGCTTATCCCTCCTACTCATACAAATAAATGTAATTAGATACCCATCTCTTAATTGTGGCCTATGGTGGGTTTTTTTTTTTTTCGTTTTTTTTTTTTAAATCTCAAACTGTGAAAGGGAGGAGATTATGGAAGAAACAGATCGAAGACCACAGGAAAAAAAACAAAACTTCAAAAACGGCATCACGTAAGTTGGAGGTGCTACGTCGGACGTACGGAACGACAGAAAGGTAGCTTGGAAAGCAGCTGGGACACAGATGTGCAACAGGAGTTTTGAGGCCTTCTAAGAACCTGTATTTCTCCACCTTGGCCACTGGGAGACGTAGGAACTACAAATCCCAGAATTCCCCAGCCAGCTTTGAAGCGATTTGGGTGTAGGGCAGAGCTGTCCAACCGCGGCAACTTTAAAACTTGTGAACTTCAACTCCCAGGATCCCATGCTCGCTTAGGGAATTCTGGGAGATGGCTGGCTGGGGAATTCTGGGAGTTGAAGTCCACAAATCTTAAAGCTGCCAAAATTGGACACCCTTGGTCTAGATCAGGGGTCAGCAACCTGCAGCTCTGGAGCCGCATGTGGCTCTTTCACCTCTCTGCTGCGGCTCCCCGTCACTCAAAATATGCGTCACAACCGCCAATGTGCAACACCCGCCGGCACGCGATTTATTGAGCTTTTCAACCCCCGGTAGGCCAACCATCTATAAATCCAAGAAAAGAAAAGTTTCAGAAAAAACAGAACGTTTAATTCAACTACATATGCTAGTTTTGTGGCCGCTCAAGAAATAGTCAGGCACGGGAAGGGTTTTGTGGCTCCCGGTGTTTTCTTTTCTGTGGGAAACGGGTCCAAGTGGCTCTTTGAGTGTTTAAAGTTGCAGGCCCCTGGTTTAGATCTCCTGCTTGAGAAGTGGGTTGGACTAGAAGACGTAATCTTATTCTTTTGTTCTGTAGAGGCAGTCCTCAACTTACGACCAGAATTTATGTCGCTAAGTGAGAAATTTGTTAAGTGAGTTTTGTCCCACTTTTTACGATTTTTCTCACCATATTTCTTAAGGGAATCTCTGCACTTGTTCAATTAGTAACACGGTTGTTAAGTGAATCTGGCTTCCCCGTGGACTTTGCTGATCAGAAGGTCACAAAAGGGGCTCACGTGACCAAAAGGGGACTCTGCAACCGTCATAAATACGAGTCAGTTGACAAGCGTCTGAATTTTGATCATGTGACCATGGGGACGCTGCAATGGTTGTAAGTGTGAAAAACGGTCCCTTTTTTCACTGCCGTTGTAACCTTGGTCACTAAACGAACTGTCGTAACTTGACGAGTCCCTGTACTTGTGGAGTTCCAACCCCCAGAATCCCATGCTGGCTGGGGAATTCTGGGAGTGGAAGTCCACACGTCTTAATAGTGGCCAAGGTCGGACAACGGGTGTCCTGTTCAAGCAGGTAGATGGACTAGAAGACCTCCAAGGTCCCTTCCAATTTTATCTTTTTTTTTTTTTAATTTGATTTATATGCCGCCCTTCTCCGGAGACTCAGGGCGGCTTACAATGCGTTAAGCAATAGCCTTCATACTTTTGTATATTTATACAAAGTCAGGTTTTGGTTACCACCTTTAGAGCGCTCCATGGCTCAGGACCAGGGTACTTACGAGACCGCCTTCTGCCACCAGTAGCCTCTCACCGACCAGTACGCTCCCATAGAGAGGGGCTCCTCAGGGTGCTGTCGGCCAAACAGCGTCGACTGGCGGCCCCCAGGGGGAGAGCCTTCTCTGTGGGGGCACCTGCCATCTGGAACGAGCTCCCCCCGGAGATACGGAGGATTCAAGACCTACGCATCTTCCGCCGCGCCCTAAAAACATTTTTATTCCAACAGGCTGGTCTGGCCTAACTCTCCCTTTTAAAATGGGTTTTAAATGTTTTATATAAATTGGATGTCTTAAATTTTTTTGAGCCCAAATTATTTAATTTATTTTTAATACTTTTTAACTTTTGTATGTCCTTTGTATTTTTATCTCGGCTGTTCACCGCCCTGAGTCCTCCGGGAGTAGGGCGGTATACAAATACGATAAAACAAGAGCCTTGATAGTACAGTGGTCTACGCACCCTGTTATTAACACAGCTGCCTGCAATTTACTGCTGGTTCGAATCTCTCCAAGGCTCAAAGTTGACTCAGCCTTCCATCCTTTCTAAGGTAGGTGAAATGAGGACCCAGTTTGTGGGGGCAATAAGCTGACTTTGTATAAAATATACAAAAGTATGAAGGCTATTGCTTAACGCATTGTAAGCCGCCCTGAGTCTCCGGAGAAGGGCGGCATATAAATCAAATTAAAATAAATAAAATAAAAATAAATAAATAAATAAATAAACATTGCCCCCATAATCTGGGTCTTCGTTCTGTATCAACATTCTGTACATCATTGTACATTCTGTACATCATTCTGTATTCAACAAGGTTGCCTAAGCCAAATCCACAAATTTCCCATAACCGTCCGTTAACTACAATCCAATCAACAAACGACAATTGGCCGTTTCGAGTCAATCCTAATCCATAACCCTCCGAGATTTATCAATGGAGTAAATAAACGGAACCGTGGTTGACGAGCCGTCCGTTCAACCAAGGAGCTAACCGATAGTCCGTCCGCACGACTTTCCGTTATTAAAAATCCAAATGTCACTGATTCTATTTCCCCCTTGTTCTAAGAGGCCTCCATTCAGAGCCTCGTCTGGCAAGGAGTTTTGCATCCGAGAGCAGCACGCTGCAAAGCCACCAACGCACCCGGCAGCCGAGGAGGACTGCAAAGCCCATCTGTTCCGTTGTTCAAAGCAACGGCGAGCGAGCTGCAATTAAAACGGAGGCTGCTCCAATTCGGTTATGAATTATCTTTTGGGTTCTGGAAGGCCCTTCAAGTCCTGGCTCTGCTCCCAGGCCCGTCTGTGCAACAACCCTGGTTGTGGTGCGTTTAATTTTCTTTTTTCTTTCCTCCACTCTCCCCCCACACCCCACCCCATTATGGCTGCTCTGCTTTTAACAGCATATTCTGATTTGTTACAAGCGACTCGGAATCCAGAGGGGAATGAGGCGATGAGGAGGTTTTTTTTCCGGTTGCTGTAGGAACAGCAAGCCAGGATTCAGAAGAGCGTTTCTGGCATCCCGGGTGCACCGTCGTCGCCCAGAATTGCCCATTTTCATTGTCGGTTGCCATGCGGAGATGCATCTCCCAGGAAACAC